TCATTTTCTTCTTCTTCTTCTTTTCATTTCATTTTCTATTCTTCTCCTTCATTTTTCTTCTTCTTCTTCTTTTTCTTCTTTCTTCTTTCTTCTTCTTCTTCTTCATTTTTTTCTTCCTTCTTTTCTTCTTTTTTTTTTTTCTTTATTCTTCTTCATTTTCTTATTCTTCTTCTTCATTTTCTTCTTCTTCTTCTTCTTTTCTTCTTCCTCTCCTTCTTCATCTTCTTTTTCTAATTCTTCTCCTTCATTTTCTTCTTCTTCTTCTTCTTCGTCATCGTCGTCTTCTTCTTCATTATTCTTCCTTTTCTTCATATTCTTCTCGGGATCATCTTTTTCTTCGTTACCTTCTCGTTATCCTTTCTTATTCGCCTTCTTTTTCTTCGCCTTCTTCTTCATCCTCTTCTTCTTCGTCGTCGTCGTCTTCTCCTTCTTCCTCTTTATTCTACCTTTTCTTCATATGCTTCTCGGCATCATCTTTTTCTTTGTTACCTTCTCGTTATCCTTTCTTCTTCTTCTTCTTATTCTTGTTATCCTTTCTTTTTCTTCCTCTTCTTCTGAACATCCATTCTTATTGTTCTTCTTCTTCTCCTCATCATCATTTCTTATTTTCTTCTTTTTGTCGTCATAAATGTATTCTCCCTCTTCTTCTCAACACCCTTTATTATTTTTTTTCATGATTTCTTCTTCTTCTTCTTCTTCTTCTTCTTCTTCTTCTTCTTCTTCTTCTCTCGTTTTTATTCTCTTCCTCCTCTATTCTCCTTATTCCTGTCTTCTTTTTCGTGTCATCCATTCTTCTTCTCCTTATTCTTTATTCTTCCTCTTCTTCATATTGTTCTCCTCATCCTTTCTTCTTCTTCTTCTTCTTCTTCTTGCCCCTACTACTCATGCCTTTCTTCTTCTTCTTCTTCTTCTTCTTCTTCTTCTTCTTCTTCTTCTTCTTCTACTACTCATACCTTTCTTCTTCTTCTTCTTCTTGTCGCAACAGGTACATTATGTGCGTCGTGGTGCAGTGGATATCGGCTCGGAGTGGGAACACGGAGAGCCGAGTTCGAATTCCAGTCGAGTTCGTTAGATTTAGTTACGAACAAATACCATTGCGAAAGGTATGAATGCATCTCTTCTCCCCACAGTTATGGGTTGAATAGCAGAACAGACTGGGTTCTTTAGACATGGTTGGCAACCAGTCTACCGCAGAAATAAATGGCAATCTACTGCGGGGGAAAAATTTTGCCGCGTCAGTTATGTATCAAAAAATACATGCTCCCCCGTGTGTATCAAGTATGGCACTTAACTGACAGACTGAATATCAGATTGGCCTACTGACGTGTCATTTAAAATTCAGCGAAATAATAATAATAATAATCCGTTGTAGTTGGAGCCCTCCAATTGTTTGGAAAAGATACCAGTAGACTAATTGAAGGGATTCCTGGAAGCCCATGCCTTAAAGAAATACAAGAAAAAATGTTTTACACGGGTACAACCCACACCTTACGAAGGGCTTTATCTATGTAAAATAGTTTGTTTTTTGTTTTTTTTCAGTGTAAAATGTCATGATTCCATTTCTAAACTTAAGACTCTGGTCAGGACCCGGAAGGAAATGTGAACACACCAGAAATCAAAGGAAATAATAATAATAATAATAATAATAATAATAATAATAATAATAATAATAATAATAATAATAATTTGTTACCTTAGGTCTCTGGGTGGGACCCGGAAAGAAATGAGTACACATCAGATATCAAAGGATATAATAATAATAATAATAAATAATAATAATAATAATAATGTTTTGCTACTTTAGCCATAATGGTTAACATGATCGCGACGATTTCAGTCTTTCAAAATAAACATTTTTTTTCCTTTCTTGCCGAAACCTTTGATTTCGTCGTCTCTGATTCATTTTATCATTTCCGAGATTCTTCTGTACTTTCACTTTCACTTTCACTTTCAATTTCATTTTCAATTAGTACGTTCCAGTGGAAAATACCAACTATTAATGTATTTATGATAATGCAGAAATAAGAACAATAATAAAAGCGAAGTTATATATAAAAACAAACAAACTTTTGTTTCTGCTTGGTCATATTGATTTTCGACATGTCGACCGTTATTTTGTGATTTACTCTCGAATCTTGTCTAGGGTACCGATTGAAGATTGAACCCTCTACTCAGTCGTGATGTTCAAGCACACTAAACTTGTTGACTGTTACCTTACACCGGGACGCCTTTTTAGTCCCTAAAGTATTATTATCTCGCGAGATAAAAAGATTTCTACTATTACTAACTTCAGGGAGTAGGCAGTCATGTCTCCCCAGCTGAACGCGTCCTAACTTATTCAGAAATATAGTGGAGTGGTTTCCCGTTGCCTTCTCTATGGTTTTGAATCTAGGATATACTTTTTTGAAACGTCTTCTCCATCCAACTCGTATAGGATCAAGACTGGAGAACCACATTTCTTCTGCTTCAAGTCCCCTTTTCATCTGTCAAGGATATTGTTCAGCATTCGCGGCCATACAGGAGAATCGATATTACACCGCAGTTCAGCACTCTCTTCTTCGTTTCTAACAACATTTTTCTGTTTCTTAATACGTTGCTTAGCTTTTGGAAGGCGTCTTTCGCTATCACAATGCGCCGTTGGATGTCAGTGTTGCACTTTCCGTGCTCTGTTAAAACGCTTTCCAGATAATTGTTTTGTACTTGTTTAATTTCAGCATCTCCAGTTTGAAATTTGCATTTTAGGCGGTTAATTTTGGTAATAACCATGAATTCTGAGCATAAAAATTGCGTTCCTTGTTCCAGGTGTCTTTGACAAATCCACACTGTTCTTGTCATCGCCGGTCTGATTGTACTGCGAGCTCTGTAAGATATCAATCTTCTCCTTGGTACTATGTTATGTAGAGAAATGAGTTTGTCTTTCTACAGTTCTATATAAGAATGGACACTTCTGTTGCCGGTGTTTTATAAGCCCTGATGGGTTTTGTTAGGTGAAGCATTGGCTCCATTTCCTGGAAAGTACATATGTTAATAAAGGCCTGCAACCTAAATATCCAGTTACGTGTTTTCTTTTCAAATAAAATCGTTTCGTTGCAGATTAAGTAATTATAACGTATGTACTTAATAGCTTTCACTTTTCACAGTTTTAAAATTTAATTAAAATTAAAGAACCTGCGAAAACAAAAGGGATATCCCTATGAAATAACGCACGCATTACAACAATCATTCATTGTAATGTCTGACCGTAATTTCGACTTAAAGAGAGCTGTTTTAATTAAAAGAGGAAGTAATCTATTAAGACCAAAATATATTGAAAGTGCGCTAATTTATTCAGTTTTTGTCCAAGTTCATGCATTAAAAAGCAAAGACAAAGGGAGTGGGGGGTGAACAAAGTTAGTTTATCAAAACAGAACAGATGCAAAAAGTTTATATTTAAAGCGTCCTAACATATTCAGCGCACCTTCCCATATATAATCATAAAGGGTATTACAATAATTATAATCGATGTATAATAATACTAATGCTTTGTATATCATTCTCACTCATCACATATAAACAATATTTTGTATGAAGAAGCCATTTTGAAGGACGAAATATTCGAAGGCAATAAATCCGGAAGCTGGAAATATTACAATGCCTCAAATCCGGAAACTGAAAACATTGCAACAGCTTTGAAATATTGAAACAAGAAACATTCAGAATACTTAAAATCCGGAAGCTGAAAACATTCAAAATACATGAAGCCTTGTAGCTGGAAACATTCGAAGGCAATAAATCCCGAAGCTGGAAACATTACAATGCCTCAAATCCGGAAACTGAAAACATTCTAAGTCGCAAAATACCGGAAGTTGGAAACAATCGGAGGCGAGAGAACCGGAAGCTGGAGACATTACAATGGCACAAGTCCGGAAACGGAAAACATTCTAAGACGAAAAATATGGAAACATTTGAAGGTGAGAGTTCCGGAAGCTGGATACATTTCAATGTCATATCCGGAAGCTGGTAACATTGCAAAAGCTTTGAAATTTTGAAGCAGAAAACATTCAAATAACTTGAAATTCGGAAGTTGAAAACATTCAAAATACATGAAGCCTTGTAGGTGGAAACATTCGAAGGCGAGAAATCCGGAAGCTGGAAATATTCGAAGGTGCGAAAACAGTGAGTTGGAAACATTTCAGAGCGTGAAATATGGAAGCTGGGAACATCCGGAAAAATTTTTTTTCAATTTTTCATTCGCGTATATTTTTTGTTGCAACGCTATTGTCATGCTTATTTTAATCATTAATTCAACAAACAACTTCGATAAATTATTAAAAATATTTATTTCTTCCCGACCTCTCATTCTCAATGTTGATTGCTAATTACTCGTTTTCATATTCTGCATCATCCCGATCCCAAAATTAATTACAATTTTTCTCCATCTTTTAATATTAATTTAATAAGCATTCATATTATTTAATTAGCTACTTTTTTTTTTATTTAGTTATTCATTTTGATAGGGTGCATTTTATCAGTTTCCGTCCATTATCACTGCTGTTATTATTTGATTTCATCCACTGAGTGCTGACATATATGGCTGACAGTGGAGATTGAGTAACAGAAAGACAATTTCAATGCAGCAGCTGTTGATTCATCTAGTTTTACTTTCACTTTCACTTTCACTTACGCTGCCAAAGCTGTATTCTTTGTACGCTAGACCATCTATTTATGAATGTAGAGGAGGGGATCTAGTCCCCTAAAACGCAGCTGGGTGACACGTTTGATTGTTAAAGAAAACTATATGGTCTTTATTATCTAGGTTTGAGAAATATTTTAGAAGACTACAAAATGTGCAAAAGAATATTAAAAACAAATATCTGCCTCCTTGGTTTCCTTCCAGAGGTCAGTATAATGACAATGATGGTTTGTGTGTGTGTGTGTGGGGGGGGGGCTATATTTATTACTATTACAAGATCCAAGAGCTACTCAAAGTGGAATTTTACAGAATCAGGTTTGCTTAGAGCCACATCACGTTGAAACACCGGTTTCCGTACGATCACCGAAGTTAAGCAACATCGAGCCTGGTCAGTACCTAGATGGGTAATCTCTTGGGAACACCAAGTGCTGTAAGCTTGGATGTGCGGGTGGCGTAACAGATAACGGCTCGGAATTGGAAATCGGAGAGCCGAGTTCCAATTCCAGTCGTGTTCGTTATAATCATCTTACGTGCAAATACATTTGGAAACGCAGAAGATCAAAAGGAGAGTGCGACACAGAGAGGGACTGGAGCGGAGTTCATCTCAGATAAAAGCAGTTATTTGCAGAGAGGTTTTAAATCATGTTTCGTAACCTAACAATCTGTTGAGGACCAGAATTGCCAGGGACCTTTTGAAATTCATTTTTTCTTTAATAATTATAATCACTATTTACATTATTCGGGCTGTTGACCTCGTTTTGTTGTCATTTTTATCACAACGTTTCGGCCGTTGTACGCTCCAGCCTTCTTCAGGTGATTGTAATGTCGAACTGAACCCTTTATTTCGCTCGCTGGGGTGGACTGTTCTAGTTCCACGTGCTATTTTTAATGGATGTCAGTTATCAGTTATCTCCTGTTAATTCCCCTCTCCAAGTTCTCCACCGCCTTAACCAGATATTGAACTCACACTCTTTGAATTTTGTCACTTGATCTAACTAACGCCTCTATCCACTGTGCCATGTGTTTTGAAGAAGGCCGGAGCGTACAAAGGCCGAAACGGTGTGATAAATATGGGAAAAAAAGTTGACGACAATATTCAGAATAAGTAAATAGTGTAAATAACACCTCATCTCAGAAATATAGACAGATAATTATAATTGTTATGTATTATAATAAAAAAAATGTGTGACGTTATTATAACCATAATATCCTATTAAACCCAGACTGTGTTGAGCGTCCGTGAGTAAAGCAGAAAGAGAACGGGGGAAGAAGAGAGACAGAGTGCGAAACGGAGAAAGATTGGAGTGGGGGTCATCTTAGATAAAGACTGTTGTTTCCATTGAGGGGCTAAATCATGTTTCCTGACCTATCGATTGTAGCCAACATAGTGAACCAAAACCAGAGTCGAATGGCAGAAACGGTGACCAGGACATACCTTGTTCTCGACGAAAGAGAGTTCGTCTCTTTCTGGCATGTAGGACTTCGATTTGAGAGAAGGCGACTACGTCGTACCGTCAAAAGAGACCCTTCTTCTTTGTTGCCCTACAAGAAATTGGCTCATTATCGACTGTGTATAATATTAGCGAGGAGGGACATCCGGGTGTGTTTGTGCCCATTGTAAGGTGCCCGTATGTCTATCATCCGGGCGAATGATTGGTGATTTCCTATTATAAGTAGACCAATGAGAGAGGTCTTCTGTCAGGGTCTTGCTTCGGGAATTAGTCTAGAGTTGGAGATTCGTCTCCAGCTGTGCTGGTCAAACTGAGGCAGAGAGGATCCCCACAGGAGGCTATGTCGAAGGGCAGAGTCTCGTCTCGGGAAACGGCTACTTTTTGGCCGAACCTACGGGCTCGGAGATGCCAAATTAAATTTGGCCTTGTGCCGCGTGGGGTGGTTGGTAGATATCCCTTCTGCCAAGGGTACATCATACTATCCGGACAGTTGTTATAGGAGGAACGAACGACGAAGCGGATACAGGAAAGAAAACAACGATAAATAACAAGAAACCGGTGCAGAGGGAAAAAACGGCCAATCCGAAATTACATCCAAAAACAGAGTTGCTAACTTCTTTTGACCACATCGATCTAATGAAGACATTACATCAGGGTCCAAAACCTTCGAGAAACAGCATGATTTGCGTCCATCCCTGCCAGTGAGGCAGATCAGAATCACATTTTTAAGTTTGATTTTTTTGGCTCCGTCGGGAAGAAAAAAATTCAGTTGATGCTCAATTTAATAATAATAATAATAATAATAATAATAATAATAATAATAAGACGTTGGCGGGTGGGATTTAATTAATGAAAGTTCTTTCATTTGAATTACGAAGACGCTCTTTTACCACGTGACACACACCAAAGACGGCGTCAATAGGGAAAAGTGGTCGGAGGAGGGTGTGGAGGTGGAGAGGAAAAGAATGGAGAGATGAAGAGAGGGAGAGCAAAAGAGGGAAACAGATGAGAGGGGTGAAGAGAAACGGGAGGTTGAAAATAGGATGATTGAGAAGAAGAAAAAAGATGTCAGTGATGGTAGAAACTGAAGAAGGAGAGGAAGAAAGAAAAGAAGAGAGAAAGGAGAGATTCATTTAGGGGTCAGTCAAGCCGATCGTGTAGAGTTTACATATCAGACACACACACACATATATATATATATATATATATATATATATATATATATATATGTGTGTGTGTGTGTGTGTGTGTGTGTGTGTTTTAGTAATCTTATAAATATAAGCAGCTATACTCGTCCGGCAAGACCATAGGTGTTTTAGCTTATAAATGAACAAACCAAAACCCAAGGGGGGAAAAGGGGGGGAGAAAGAACTAAGAACGTATACTTCCGGCGAAAATAATCGTCTAGAATCTAAGTTCAGAGTCTAAAGAAAAAAAAAAACAGTCAGTTTACCCTAACGATCCGCGTAGGTGAAACGTAGGTAGGTTCGTCTGGCTATTTAAGTTTACTTATATATATATTTAGGTTTAGGTTTACTTATATATATATATATATATATATATATATATATATATATATATATATATGTGTGTGTGTGTGTGTGTGTGTGTGTTTCCCCCCTTTTTTGCTCTTCATTATCGTTAATATTCTTTTTCGCTGATCCAACGATTGTCTCCTGATGAGATGTTGGCTGAAAGGGCCCTAGAGACTTTTAAAATTAAAATCAATGCATTCCTTGTTTTTAAAAACTATATATAAATTTTGTACCTCCAAACATTTGTTTATATATATATATATATATATATATATATATATATATATATGTAAAAAAAATATTGTTTTAAGGTGTGCTATATTTATGGTTTAAAGTGCCCAGTATCAGGGATAGAGCGTATGTAAATATAAAAGTGGACACTGAAGTCAACACTCAGCGTTGACAGTCTGTTTCATGCTAAACGCAATCGTCAGACCATGTTCTTACCATTGCGTTCAGCATGAACTGATTGCAGCGTCTGGGCGTTGATTTCAATGTTCACTTTGATATATATATATATATAATACTAATAATCTTATAAATATAAGCAGCTATAGCCGTCCGGCAAAACCTTAATCTGTAAATGAACAAAAAAAGGGTAAAAAAAGAAAGAATTAAGAACATGTACTTCTGGCGAAAATAATTGTCTAGAATCTAAGTTCAGAGTCCAAAGAAAAAACCTTCAACACAAGTAAAATAAAATAACTAAGCAAAAAGTGCTCAATATGCTAAGTAGAGCAAACTAATTAAACCTAAAGTGCCAGACAAATCTACCTAGGTTTCACCTATGTGGATTGTCAGGTAAACAGTCTTTAGGTTTATATATATATATATATATATATATATATATATATATATATATATATGATATATAAATATTAAATTAAATCATATATATATATATATATATATATATATATATATATATATATATATATATATATATATATATATATATATATATATAACAGTTAGATCTAAGTTAGAATATCCGAACAGAGACGTTCCATATCACGTGACGTCCGCGTCTCGCGAAGGACGCTACTTGCTAACAAACAGTAATTTTAATTTATTTGTAACAGTTATTTCTGATGAAAAATTGAGGACAATTTGAAATATCAAATATATATATAAATAAATAAATACTTCTATAAAATAAAACATTAATTTTTTATTTTGCAACTTTTCTCTCTCTCTCTCTCTCTCTCTCTCTCTATATATATATATATATATATATATATATATATATATATATATATATATATATATATATATATTTAGAAATTCGGATTTAATTCATTTCCTAAAAAATGACTTTGTTTATGTCAGGATACGAAACAGTGTTCATATGTATATGAAAGATGTGCGTATTTGAGCAGGCTGTCCTACGTGGGCGGGAGGTCAAGACATGTCAGATCTGATGACGCAGTTTCGAATCCTGTCGGAGGACGCAAATTTTTTAACAAGTTTTTCTCGAATATTCAGGCCGGTAGAGGTAAATAATTAAATATATTGTTTAATAATAAAAACAGATGCATCTATTCAAATATGTGTATCAATTAAAATAATATTTTAACAAATAAATTATATATATATATATATATATATATATATATATATATATATATATACCACACTATTTACATTATTCGAAACTATTGTCCTCATCTTTGTCGACATATTTATTACAACGTTTCGGCCGTTGTACGCTCCGGCCTTCTTCAGATGGCTGAAATGTCGAAATGAACCCTTTATTTCGCTAACTGGGGTAGACTGTTCTAGTTCCACGTGCCATGTTTAATGGATGTCAATTGTCAGTTATCTCCTGTTAATTCCCCTCTCCAAGTTCTCCACTGCCTTAACCGGGTATTGAACTCACACTCTTTGGGGCCTGTCACTGAATCTAACTAACGTCTTTATCCACAATAGTCCGAATAATGTAAATAGTGTACATAATACCTCATCTCAGAAATATTGACACATATATATATATATATATATATATATATATATATATAGATAGATAGATAGATAAACCTAGTGAGCCAGACAAACCTACCCAGGTTTCACCTAAGCGGATCGTCTGGGAAAGCTGGCTAAAGAAGCAAAAGAGAAACAGCATATTTATAGGCGATAATTAAAATCATACCACGTGACCAAAGAAAAAGAAGAAAAAACACAACAAAAAACAACATGGGGGGAGATTTATTCAAACGACGAAAAGGGGAGGGAATAATTAAAACACGAATAATAAAGGTGGAATGACAATACAAACAGGGGAGATTAGACCTAATTCAATAACCAAAATTTTTTATGCCTGCATATGTTAAGAATCTTGGTTTTAGAGTTTAACAGATCGTTAGGTTGATTATATAAAGCTATGGCTAATTTCTCCTCTGTACATAGCTTACAAAATTTGGGGCATTCTTTTTAATATTTCCCATTTAAG